TCATTGGCTGAGTGCTTCGGGTTCACAATCTTCCCAACACTCAACTAAACATACGGATACTGGCTAAACATCAGTTTTCACTAGCTAAGCATAATCTCTAATTAGTTAACTTCTCACACTTGCTCGTTCAACACTTGGTCATTGTTTCTGGACATCTGCTCATCCTTGCATAGAGATAAGTTTGGAAGGAGGATAACGGGGAGTATCTTGATGCCTGCTGTTGCATCCCAACCTACCCACAGAGCAAGGCAAGCCAGCCTTGTGTGGAGGCCCTGGCTTCTTTGATGTTTGTTAAGTCTGTTTTCCTTTTGCTGAGTGTCTCTTATCCAAACAGAATAGCCCTACAATATTCACATGTATGTAGTACATGTAAAGAGCATGTTGGGAAAAGCAGTTTGGGTCCTTCCAGCTTCTGGAAAGGGCAAACCTCTCCTCTGTGGAACTGTTTTTGCACAGGGACTTGGGTCCACCTGGTGGGTGATGGAGAAGGATGGGGATGTTCAATGTGTACCACAAGGGAATTTGAATTTCGGGGAGTGCAGTCAGTAATTCTATGTATGTATACATATATCTATGTATATAGACACGTGTGGCTAACACATTTTAATTATTCTTTTCTGTATATATGAATATACATTAAGCACAATACAGTGAGGTAGAGTAAAGGGTGGAGTGCCATGGTTTTATGATTCTTGTTATCAGTATGCCACATCACAACAGAGTTAATACTCCAGTTCCGTGGACTGACAACTTTCTGGATACCTGGTTCTGAGAAAAGAAGAAGAGCTGCACATCCCAGGGGACTTTGCATTCAGAGAGGAAGATAAGCCATGGGAGGAAGTCATGGGATCTCTCCCTCTCTCGCTCCCTGGCAGTGCTGTGGTGCTCCCCACCCACACGCCTTCAGTTCAAAGTAGAACGTTCAGTTTCGGACACTCTCTTTCTTATTTTATTTGATTTATTCACCTCAATTTCAATTAGATTGTATTATATATTGTGTTATCTTGCTTCCCGATTTCATGTTTAGTAAAATTACGTTTTCCTCCTTAGATTGTTGCAGCTGTTCTGTTTTTGGGCCCAGCTCCCATATCCCTACCCTTCCCCTTTTCCCTTCCCATTTTGGGTCCAGAGGCCTACAGACCTGCTGCCTCCTGTCATGGGCACAGATTGATCTAACTAGCCCTTTCACAACCATAGAGACCCACAGAGACTCATAGGGACCCATAGGAACCCATAGAGACCCGTAGGGACCTATAGAGATTCATAGGGACCCATCAAAATCCACAGAGACCCATAAAGAGTCCTAGGCACCCACTGAGATCTATCAAGACCCATAGAGACACACTGAGACCATTGAGACCCATAGAAATCCCATAGAGACCTACTAGGACTAAGGTAGAGAGCCATAAGGACTCATAGGGAATCATAGAGACCCACACAGACCCATAGAGACCCGTACTGACCCATAGAGACCCATAAGGCCCCTGCTTTGAGGACTGTCAGTAGGAAGCACATCACGCCCAACACACACAGGGAGTGAAGGGTGCCCAGATTTGCAGCTCCTGGTTAGATAACAGTGAAACGGACACTCAGTGTCCAGACACAGTCACCAGTTTTAAGGCTAATCTGAGCACTATGATTATCTGTAAGGTACTGGCACTTCTACAATTATTTCCTTGTGCAGCTAGACTTTGTGATGTTCTAAGAAACCCAAGTAAATCTTGTGTTACTTAACATCTTTATGAGAGGAAGAGAAAGAAAAGAGAGAGACAGAGTTGGGTCAGGAAAGAGAGAGAGGGACAGAGAAAGAGATCACAGGTCTGGGTTCCAGCTTTGATCCAGCCAATGGAGGTGGGGGGTGCTTGGCTTGTGAGCATGCTTGAGCCATAATTTTGTAGCATGGAAGTCTCAAAACAGAACCTCAAGGATCTCTCTGGCATCCTTCTTTGGCTCCTTAGTTTACAGGTGGGCCACCCAGGGCTGTGAGTGAGTTGGCAATAAACAAGTCCATCAAAAACAAGTTTGCAGTCAGAAATTCCTATAGCACAGTGAAAACATTTTGGACAGAACAAGGCTGTGTCATTTTTCATAGGATTCCCTCCTCCCCCAACTCTGTAGCCTTCATCCTGTTGACATGGCAATGCTCTTCCAAGCCTTTGAGCCAACTCCAGGCACACCACAGGCAAAGTGTTTTTTTGTTGGTCTGCTACGTAATGCAGGACCTGAGGGCTGACACAAATGCAAGGAGAACGGAGAACAGCGTGGTGGTGCAAAGAGAGCAGCACTGAAAAGACCACGTCCTGCTGCTGCCCGTGGCTGTGGCTGCAGGGAAGCAGCAGCACAACTCAAAGGCAGCAGAGAGGGAGCGCCCAGCAGGCGGTGAGGGGCAGCCCCACAGACACCAGGGCTGCTGCTCCGTGTGGCTCTGGGCTCTTGGTTCCTGCACCGCTCCTCTGAGATACAGATGACAGTCTAATTTTTTTCTTACTGTTTTTATTTTTTTAATCTTCTCAAACAGTCTACTGCTTGAAGAGCAATAAAGCTTTCAGAAGTAAGAAAAAAAATGTAGATGGAAAATACCAATCAATAGTATTATGTAAGTGGAGTAAAAACTTTTGTAAATATTAAAAATAAATGAGGAAAAAATATATGAAATATTACATGATACCCTTCCTAGCTTTTCTTGAGTTTGTGGCACTCATGTGAAGATAATGAAGATAAAATGAATGCTGAAGAAAACAATATATAAAGAGTTTCCTGAGGGCATCTTTGAGCTCCCAATTCCTCATGCTGTAGATGATGGGGTTCATTACTGGAGGCACCACTGAGTACAGAAATGACCCCACCAGGTCCAGGGATGGGGAGGAGAAGGAGGGTGGCTTCAAATAGGCAACCATGCCTGTGCTGAGAAACAGGGAGAGCACAGCAAGGTGAGGGAGGCACGTGGAGAAGGTTTTGTGGCGTCCCTGCTCAGAGGGCATCCTCAGCATGGCCCTGAAGATCTGCACATAGGACAGCACAATGAAAATGAGACAAGCCAAAAAAATACAGGCCCTAAATATGATAAGTCCAACTTCTCTGAGGTAAGAACCAGAGCAGGAGAGCTTGAGGATCTGTGGAAGTTCACAGAAAAACTGGTTCACAGCATTGCCATGGCAGAGAGGCAGAGAAAATGTGTTGGCAGTGTGTAGTAGAGCATGGAGAACTCCACTGGCCCAGGCAGCTGCTGCCATGGTGGCACAAGCTCTGCTGTCCATC